GAGGCTGCGGAAGCTGGCTGGCACGGAGACGTCAGGGACAGGAGGCAAAAAATCCAAGCAACAGATCATAGGGACGAGGAGAGCAGTGAGACACACCGTAGGGTCGAAACACAAAGGAATTATCTGGCAGGGAAGTGGCATGAGGACCGGGCTTTTATATCCACAGGTGAAGAGGTGAGTGGAAACAGGTGTGCCTCGTCTGCTACTGGGAGGAGCCAGCCAACTCCATGGCACACACCAGCCCTGCAGAGGAAAACAGAGAAGGGAGGGGGGAGACAGGAAAAAACACAAAAAGAGCACACAACAAAACCAAAACTAAACAGAATCATAACAGTACCCCCCTCAACGGACGCCTCCTGGCGTCCTACCAGGCCTATCCGGGTACCTAACATAAAAGTCCCTAAGGAGATCAGGGTCCAAAATAAGGGAGCGGGAGATCCATGAACGCTCCTCTAGCCCGTACTCCTCCCAATCCACCAAGTACTGGAACCCCCGACCTCGCCTTCGCACATCCAACAACCGCTGGACGGTGAAAGCAGGGTGATTGTCAATAATCCGGGGGGGAGGAGGGGGCTCGGTCAGAGGGCTCAGAAGACTGGAGGAAACTGGCTTGAGAAGTGACACATGAAATGCTGGGTGGACATTCAAGGAAGCAGGCAGTTTGAGTCTAACCACAGCAGGATTAATAATCCGTTCAATGACAAACGGGCCAATGTACCTGGGTGCCAGTTTGCGGGATTCAGTCTGGAGTGGAAGATCACGGGAGGACAGCCAGACCTTCTGGCCGGGCTGATAGTCCGGGGCTGGAGTGCGATGGCGGTCTGCAAGTCTTTGGTTGCGAGCAGCAGTGCGAGTGAGAGCTGACCGAGCTTCATGCCAGACTCTGCGGGCACGCCGAAGATGCCCCTTCACTGAGGGAACTGCCACATCCCTCTCCTGGGTGGGGAAGAGAGGGGGTTGGAACCCAACAGAAGCCATGAATGGTGACATATATGTGGCGGAGCAAACCAGGGAGTTGTGGGCATATTCAACCCAAGGCAGGTGGGAGGCCCAGGAGACTGGATGGTGAGAAGAGACACAGCGAAGGGCTGCCTCCAGGTCCTGATTAGCACGCTAAGTCTGGCCATTGGTCTGCGGGTGGTAACCTGATGACAGACTGGCCGACGCCCCCAACGCCCGGCAAAAAGCTTTCCAAACTCGAGAGGCAAATTGCGGACCCCTGTCAGAAACAATGTCCTGAGGAATGCCATGCAATCTAAAAATATGCTGGGTGATTAGAGTAGCAGTCTCCAGAGCAGAAGGTAATTTAGGTAGGGGAACGAAGTGTACGGCCTTGGAAAAGTGGTCAACAATAGTCAGGATAACTGTATTACCTTCCGATGGGGGAAGACCCGTCACGAAGTCCATGGCGATGTGAGACCAAGGCCGATGAGGAATGGGAAGAGGGCGGAGAAGACCAGCAGGGGCGCGGTGGGATGCCTTACTGCGGGCGCAGATGGAGCAGGCGGCGACATACTTCTTGGCGTCAGAGTACATGGAGGGCCACCAGCAGCGTTGCTGGAGGAGGCCTAGCGTCCGAAGTGCTCCTGGATGGCAAGCTATCTTAGAATCATGTCTCCACTGGAGCACTGAAGATCTGGCGTGCGGTGGAACGAACAGCCGACCCGGTGGACAATCCTCAGGAGCTGGATGGTCCTCTTGTGCCTCCTGGACCACCCTCTCAACCTCCCACCTGGCTGCTCCCACCACACAGGAGGATGGAAGAATGGTCCCCACGGATGGCTCCTCAACCGGAGGAGCGAACTTACGTGACAGGGCGTCCGCCTTGATGTTCCGTGAGCCTGGCCGATAGGTGAGGGTGAAGCTGAACCGGCCCAGAAAAAGCGCCCACCGAGCCTGGCGGGAGTTGAGCCTGCGAGCAGAACGGAGATAAGATAAGTTTCTGTGGTCAGTCCATACCAAAAACGGGTGAGTCGTGCCCTCAAGCCAGTGCCTCCATTCCTGCAGTGCTAAGACTACTGCCAGTAGCTCCCGATTTCGCACATCATAGTTTATTTCTGCCGGGGAGAGCCGGCGGGAAAAGAAGGCGCACGGATGCAACTTCTGGTCGGAGGCTGAGTGCTGGGAGAGGACTGCCCCGACACCAGTGTCGGAGGCATCCACTTCGACCACGAAAGGGGCTGAAGAATCAGGGTGAGATAACACAGGAGCAGAGGAAAACAAACACTTCAACATAGCAAAACCAGCCTCAGCTGCAGATGATCACACAAAGGAAACTTTAACTGAGGTGAGCTTGGTGAGTGGGGCGGCTGCTCGACTATAGTCACGAATAAACCTGCGGTAAAAACTGGCAAAACCAAGGAACCTTTGGAGTTGCTTTCTCGTCGTAGGAGTGGGCCATTCGGCCACTGCCATTACTTTGGCAGGGTCGGCTCTGACTTGCCCCTTCTCCACCACAAAACCCAGGAATGAAACAGAGGAAACATGAAATGCACATTTCTCAGCCTTCACATAAAGTCTGTTCTCCAGCAGTCTCTGCAGCACCAACCTCATGTGTTGAACATGTTCTTGGGGGTCACGAGAGAAAATGAGGATATCATCAAGATACAAAGACAAATCTGTTTTGCATATCACGAAGGACATCGTTAATCAGTGCCTGAAACACAGCAGGGGCGTTAGTTAACCCAAAAGGCATAACTAAATATTCAAAATGTCCCAGGGGCGTCTTAAATGCAGTCTTCCACTCGTCTCCCTCCTTTATCCTTACTAGGTGGTAGGCATTTCGGAGGTCCAACTTTGAGAAGATGGTGGCTTGATGGAGGAAACCAAAAGCTGAGTCTAACAGCGGGAGAGGATACTTATTCTTCACCGTGATGTCATTCAAGCCCCTGAAATCAATACAGGGGCGTCTTATCCTTCTTGTCAACAAAAAAAAAACCCGCCCCCAATGGAGAGCGAGAAGGGTGAATGAGACCAGTAGCAACTGAGTCAGTGATATAAGTCTCCATGGCCTCCCTCTCAGGCTTGGAGATATTATAAAGTCTGCTCGAACGCAAGGGAGCCCCGGGGAGCAAGTCAATGCCACAGTCATAAGGTCGGTGAGGTGGTAGAGACAGGGCACGATCCTTGCTGAAAACCTCCTGGAGGTCATGATACTCAGAGGGAACTGACATGAGGTCAACAGGTATGGGGGGGGCAGGTTTGGAAGTAACTGTGGTGGGTATGGCAGAGTGTAAACAGTAAGAGTGGCAGAACAAACTCCAGTTGACAATGGATAAGGTGGCCCAGTCTATGTGTGGATTGTGGAATTTAAGCCAGGGGAGACCTAACACCAGCGGAGAAAGGGGTGAGGGAATGAGATAAAGGGAAATAGTCTTGTGATGATTACCTGAGAGTAACAGTGACACTGGGGCAGTACGGTGAGTTACACAGGCTAGAAGCCTACCATCAAGAGAACAAATGTTCTTGGGCTCGGGAAGGGGTTCTGAGGGGAGATTAGACTGGAAAACAACATCAGAGTCAATACAATTTTCGTCAGCCCCTGAATCAACTAAGACTTGGAGAGGAAGGGAAACTTGTGAAGAAACCGTACCCTTTAACCGGAGGCGATTAGCGTGGGAACGGGAGACAGAAGTATGGCTCACCAGCGCCCCTCCCCCGGCTGCTGAGCCTGCTCTTTTGGCCGAGCGGAACAGTTGGCTCGAATGTGGCCAGCCTAGCCACAGTATATGCAGAGCCTCTGGAGGAAGCGGCGTTCACGTTCGGCAGGTGAAAGCCTCATTCTCCCCAGCTGCATAGGCTCCTCTGGGCTTAGGGATGAGGAGACTGATGGAAGTGGGTCCCGGTAGGGGAAAGGCTCCCGGCGTTGGTTAGGGGGTGCAGACTGTCCAGGCGGACGTGGTGACTTGGGTTGGGAAAAGGGGAGAGGGAATATCTGCCTGTCTGTTCTCTCCCTACACCTCTCACGGAGGCGATTATCTAAGCGACTGGCCAAAGAAATTAATTCCTCAAGGGACGAAGTCTCATCTCGAGCAGCTAGCTAGTCCTTTAACCCTTAAAGACCTAGACGGAATTTTCGCCTGCCTGACTCTCCTGTATTTATTTGTTTCTCCTAACCTGTTCTAACCTTTTCTTGCAGTCAGCATCAAGTGCCTTACCTCATTTGATTCAGGAGAACCTCTAGTTCAAGTCTGGCTAATTTGAAGTCCAAATTTTACCATAACTTTGTGTGATAATGGCTGAATTTACCAGCACTTTTCAAAAACGCCAGTACAAATGTTGTGTTTTTTTACTGTTTACTCCGCCAGGAACATAGGGATTTTGTTTTTTATTATTTACAAAGCTGCATTTAGATGTTTTAGGCTTTCAAATTCAATTTCATCTGCATATTATGTTCCCTGAGCAAGTTACAGCTATTTATTACAATATTATCCTAGGCGTTTTTCACTGAAAAACGCCTAGGATCATATGGAATAATTAAAACGAAATGTATTTCCATATTTAAATGACTGATCATGTTTCTTCTGTCAAAAAAAGGTTGAGAGAGTAAACAATTAAACCATAACCGATGACATTGCAACAAAAATAACTTGTTTCAGAGATATATATTATCATTTGAACATTGAAATACAAACACAAACAGTGAAACAAATTCAAAGTGCAAATTAACAAAGTGCAAATTATATTAAAACTATAAACAAAGTATTAGGAATATATAGAAAGTGCAAAAGTACAAAGAGCAAATGATCTTCAAACTATAACCAAAATATTAGAAAAATATATAAAGAGCAAAGGAAATGTATCAAGATTCATCATGGTCTGGGTCGCTCAGATGTACAGCTCTGCTGATTGCCATGAACCTGTCTCTTGTCATGATAGAAGCAGGAAAGAGAACACTCAGGTGTGATCCCTTCCTCCAGTAGTCTCTTACTTTGAGCAGTTTTAGAAGTGCCATGAACATCATAAGGCCGACATACATGAGGAATTTTACCGGCTTTCCCAAACAAACTTTTCCCCCTTAGCCTGCTCCTTTTCAGCATTTTTGTTTGTGTTCTTGCAGATGATATTTACAGCTTGGTTGTTAAAACAATTTCTAAATATTTGTGCAGGAGTATACTCCACACCAACAAAACCTTGGACTCCACGGGCTCTTTTCGGGCAAAAGTGTGGTAGTTGTTGGGCAGTATCTGGCACCTCAGGTCCGTTCCAAACAGCTCCTGGCTCTTCTGGGGTCAGAGATGTTTTTTTCCCTTTCCCTCTTCCTCTCCCTTTCACTGTCAGGGGGGCTGGCATTGGTTTGGCCTTTTTTCTGGATGCTGCACCCTCCTGGCCACATTCTTTTCCCTCTCGGTTTGAAGGAGGCCTACTGATGGGGACAGTGGCTTGTGCATCCCCTCTCTCATCCTCTGTCCTAAAATAAAAGGGAGGAAAATATACAGATATAAATGTCTGAATTTATTTTATTTCCTTTATTGCTTTTATTTCTCCAGTGTCATCCTATCTGTTTTCTAAACACAGTCTCAACTTTTGATTTGATTCACACTTTATCCCTCTGCTAACATTACTAGTTGATGGAATCAGTAACTGAATTGTAATGCAATGAATATAATAACATTAGACCTCATAACAAACAACCAAAGAGGGCAAGCGGAATGAGGCAATAAATGAAAGGTATTGCTTGACGTTTTTTTACTGAAATAAATAGTAGCCTCTATTGATAGTGAATCTTGAGCTCAGGACTTCACTTTATGACACAATTACGGCAAATGGCCATCCATTATAAAAACTCTTAGGACTAATTATTTTCGGCGTTATACAGCAACAACAACCGATAAATGCAACACAAACAATAAGAAATAAGCAAAGTTACTCACTTTTTTATCTTCGAAGGGATCAATCCCGTGATCATACTACTCTTCCTTGCCAGTTGTCAGCTTCAGAATCTGAGGAATCCACCGCTGCATCGCTAAACGGTCCGCCAGACAAAATAAATTCTACGGTTTCTTCCGTAGTGTAACGCCGTTTTGACATGTTGGTTTGAATTTGTCTTGGGATATGTGTGTGTGTGTGTGTGTGTGTATGTATTTGTGTGTGTGTGTGTGTGTGTGTGTGTGTGTGTGTGTGTGTGTGTGTGTGTGTGACTGTATCTAGATATCTTGTGTTGTATGTATTTCTCTTACGCTGGCAGAATTACTCTTCTTTAGTATTACTCTCTCGTCTCTCTGTTTCTCTTTGTTTATCTCCCGCCGCCAAAAACATACACAGCAACCTATGTTGATTGGTCGAGAAGATGGTAGCATGGGCAGAGGTTTGCCTGGACCTTTACATTTTAAACCTATCCGGACACAGGGGGGTGGGACTTAGTCTAAAACCTTGGCTGTTTGGCTCAGACAGAGGGGCCACGTGGGTCTCCTTGACGAATCAAGGCTGTAAAATGTGATAACTTTGCCCCGATCACGTCGGAGCCTCTAAATCCCGGAAAAGGACATAGTGATACCAGCAAAAAGCCTAGAATAGCCGCTTTACCTCACTTTTTAAATCAGATGGATAGAATTAGCGGTTAAAAAGTTATTAAGCATTTTAGAACGCTACCTCTTTGAAGCCGCGGGCGGCTCGCTCGGCCTTTAAGGGTTAACTCCTCGTTTAATCCACAGGAAAAAACTATCTGTAGAGCCGTCTCGCCCCACCCGCTCTCTGCGGAAATCAATTGAGTATGTGGAGACTGACTCTGAACCCTAGCATAAAGAAAGGAGCTGATTACCGGCCTCCTTACCCTGAAGCGGGTGGTCAAAAACTCGAAGCATCTCGGTCTCAAACACAGGAAAGGAGTTATAGATAGCTGGATTACCCTTGGCTATGGCCACCGCCCATGCAGACGCTTTACCCGCTAACAAACTCATAACGAAAGCTATCCTAGTTCTGTCAGAGGAGTAAGTTAAAGGTTGCTGATCAAAAACTAGGGAGCACTGGTGAAGAAACGGACTGCATGTCCCTGAATCACCTGAATACCTCACAGGGGTGGGGATGAATGACTGGAATATCAGGAGCTGGAGGTGGTGGCGCAGGAGCTGGAGCCATCAGAGCGTTGAGCTGGGTGAAAGACTGGTCCAAGCGGCCGCTGAGCTGAGTGACACCGGCAGTAAGGTTGTGGAGGGATTCCATGATTCCTTGCAGAGCTTGTTCGTGCTGCCCCACACAAGCTCCCTGTGTGGAAAGAGCATGCTTACATCTCTCAGTCTCTGCGGGTTCCATGCTTTGGCCAGATAATTCTGTTAAGGCCTAGAGAATATTGGACCCCAAAGCAAAATACTTGAGAGAGATGGTCAAAAACAAAAAGCTTTATTAAAGCAGAGGAACAGAAAAATGGTAGTGGAGGCAGGAAGCTGGCTGGCACGGAGACGTCAGGGACAGGAGGCAAAAAATCCAAGCAACAATAGGGACGAGGAGAGCAGCGAGACACACCGGAGGGTCAGACAAAGGAATTATCTGGCAGGGAAGAGGCATGAGGACCGGGCTTTTATATCCACAGGTGAAGAGGTGAGTGGAAACAGGTGTGCCTCGTCTGCTACTGGGAGGAGCCAGCCAACTCCCTGTCACACACCAGCCCTGCAGAGGAAAACAGAGAAGGGAGGGGGGAGACAGGAAAAAACATAAAAAGAGCACACAACAAAACCAAAACTAAACAGAATCATAACAGCTGCAACACAAACATTTCCCAAATTGGGATCAATAAAGTACTATCTGATCTTATCCAACTCTCTGTTGTGTTTACATCATTGAGCCGTCAGTGATATGGGAGATCCGCTGACCTTGCAGCCAATCTGCGACTCCGTGGCTGGGAAACAAAGGTCCGACCAGTCGAGAAGGAGTATGTAGCAACATCTATAACGGCCGGTCCACACGGCGGCGTGCGTTGAAGCTTCAACGCAGCTTCCCATTCACTTTGAATGGGGTGACGTCACGCTTTGCCGAACTGCATTGTGGTTCTGTCGCTTCGCCTTGCCTCCGTTGCTTGCTTCAAAAGTTGAGAAAAGCTCAACTGTTCAAGCTTCGACGGAAGTGTCAGCCAATCAAATCATATGCCAGTACAAGCTCTAGCCAATCAAACCGCGTGCTTGTGTGTCCGGGGCAGGAGATTCATGTGATTGGTTGTTGGTCGAGCTTCGGACACGCCCGCCGGCAAGCTTCAATGCACGCTGCCGTGTGACAAAGCTGCTCCGTGTGCTGAGCTTAAGAGTGATGGTCAACTGGCAGGAAGTCAATCACCTCTCCAGAACTGCTGTAAAAGGTAGTCAGTGGCTCCGGAAAAAGGGAAATAACTCCATATTGGCCAACAAATTAGAAGGCATCTACCTACTGCTGAACACTTTGGAGGTCTCTTGGGCCAATCAGCAAACCATTGAGCGAAAAAGGCATCCACTTGATAACCCAAACAACGCCATCACTAACTTTAATATCCTGCAGAGTCCAGGGTGCAGCATGTCTCAAGAATACAATCAAGGGTCAATAATAACTAGTCCTAAGTAACAGATCAACAACAGTTAACACAGTCTGAACGCAGCATATCATGCTCAGAGGAAGGGAATACAGTGACATTTTAATCCAGAATCAAAACAAGCACAAGACACCAAACATGCTAGGCCTATAACATACCAATTGCCAGCATTTCCAGTAATTGGTCCGAACCATCAAAAAGACACTAGGAACAAACCAGGGTTCAGTTTGTTCCAGTTTCCTCCGAACCAGGGTTCAGGGGAGTTTTCAGGCCTTCATTTGGTTATCAAACAAAAAGGACCAATTGAGGAAAGTGTGAAAGGGCCTTCAAATAAAATCATGTATAAAAACTGAACTTTTTCTCATGAAGTCTTTACATGGCAGAAGATTGAGGTTTCTGGATAAATACTGTATAATTGATGGGTTGCTGTATCATTTTGCTACATAATTTATGAATTGTAACCCACTGATAATAAGTGGGTTAGCTCATTTTAATGAACATCCAGTTTCTGCTATGAATAGATCTGTGTACAGTAGCAAGCGCTCATAAAAGAAGTCTCTCTAGTTCCAGCAAAGAACTCAATTATTTTGTATCTGGTCTCTCAGTTGAGTCCTTTGGGTGCTATGTATGTATCTGATGGTTTCTTGTTTAATATGAAATGTCATTTTCTGCTGCTAGAGCTGCAAGTCTAGTTTTCCTTCATTCCTGAGTTGTCCACATTTAGTGATCTGGTCAGTCCATATTCTGCTTCTGGGGTTTTCCCCTTTCCTGTAGTGTTTTATATAGGTGTTTCTGTACATTTAAATGGTCTGCAAGAGCTAACAACCCACATTTTCTGTTCCACACAAGTGGGCTCCTTTGTTTACTTCCGTGATATAGTGACATCACTATGTCTATTGGCTGGACATCTCTAGGCAGTTGACCAATCACAACAAACTGGCCAGCTAACCAATGAGAGCAGACTGGGCTCTGGTTACAGATACAGGGTGAACAATTAACATAAAATGTCCTTTTTAAGTTTTATGGATCAGAATCCATTTAAATTATTTTGAAACTCATTCATTTGTTTACCACGTAGGTTTTCCTTTGAGACATTGAAGCCAAACACATATATATATATGGATCTGAATCTGAGTTCAACCCAATAATACTAATAATACTTAAAGTAAGTATAATTTCCAGGCTCTTTAGGAAGAAATCTGTCAACAGTCTTGCCAACAGTGTTGTTGCCCTCATACAAACAACTCTTGAATGTCACTTGCCCTTGGTAAATTAGAGTGGATTGCTAGTAAATGTTGTCTGTTGTTCCTGCAGATTTATAACGTACAGCGTCCTTGTATCCATCTCATTACTGTTTTACATCTGAATTAGGTTACTGAATGAATCCTCAGAGGCCACAACCTCGAATCCGTGTGCTAAGTGCTGGAAAACACACACACGCACACACACACACACACACACACACACACACACACACACACACACACACACACACACACACACACA